TGCGTGCGGCCGGGCGATGGGCATGGCGGCGGCAGCAGCGGCGGCGGCGGCAGCGGCGGCGGCGGCAGCGGCGGCGGCGGCGGCAGGCAGTGTAGGCGGCGCAGGCGTGGGCTGGGCAGGGGCAGCAGCAACAGGGGCGGCAACGACTTCAGCTGAGGGCGGCGGGAGGGGAGCCGCTCGCCACCAGCGAGAGGTCGCAGCCCGCCCCACCTGGCGCGCTGGGGGCTCCTCCGCGCGCTGCTGGCGCAGCTCATGGAGGTATTGTAGCTCCCCAGGTGAGCGCCAGAGGTCAATGCTGACCTCTGGTGCTGCCCACGAAAGGCGGCGGCGGGCACCCATCAGGGCGCCGCACAGGGCAGGAGTCAGTCGCAGGTGGCATTCGCTGCGCCCGTCCCCACGCACCCGAATCTCAACGCAGGTCACAGGCACACAGTCAGGCACTGGCAGGTGAAGGCTGGCCCGGCAAAACAAAACGAAGGCTGCGACTGCGGCCCCCAGGCCCCCACCGGCCTCCAGAGCGAGCCCCTTGACCACGATATGGGGGAAATCGGGCCGCAGGGATGCCCGGGAGGCCGGGTTGCTGATCGGCTGCTGGCTGCGCTGCCCAAGGCTGGCTCCCTCGCTGCTTGACATGCTGATGGGTGGGTGGGTGAGTGTGGAGGGTGGGGGTGTGGGGGTGATCGGCGCGAGGCCGGCGCGATGGCTCTCTGTGAGCGGACGGGTGGGCTACTGTTGGCTATAATAGGCTATAATGAGCAGCGAGCTTGTGTCGGCATTGTGAGACAGGCCCGCCGGCTCAGGGTCCTCAGCCACCTGCTCCTGCTCCTGCTGCTGCTCGATGGCCTGCTGCACTGCTTCGCTCCTCTGCAGGCGGCCCTCCAGCGGCAGGCGGCCGTGCAAGCTGCAGCCTGGCGTGCCGTCGCTGCAGCGCTCATGCAGGCTCCTCCTGTCTGCCAGCTTCCCACGCTGCGAGCCGGCCTCCTCCTGGCCCTCCAGATGCGGCTCTGACAGCATTGGGTCGTCCTGCGGCACACAGGGCAGCAGCGGCGGCGGCGGCGGCATTAATCAGATGCAGCCGATTCACCGAGTGGCAAGCTAGGCAGGAGCCGCGTGTGCGATGCGCCAACCTGGCTCACCTCTGCAGAGCCTGTTGTCTGTGAAATGGGGAGGAAGGACTCTCTCTGCAGCGTCAGCAAGATGCCTGCAGGCAGGCGCAAGGCGGCCAGTGGCGGCAGTGCGGTGAATGGCTGCGCTGGTACTGGTACAGCGCAGCCACTCAAACAGCTCCCCTGCAGCTGCCTCATGCTGCTGAGCACATCTTGGCGCGAGCATACATTTTGGGGCCAGAAGGGTGGGCATCAGCCCCGACACGACCTGAACTGCAGAGCAAACAGCCCACCTGAGCAGAGCCACAGCAGGATGAGCGACGCTACCGCCAGCCTGGAGCCCCGCGCACCGCAGCGGGGGCTGGAGCAGCCGCCGTAGCGAAGCGTCATGGTGATAAAAACACAGGATCGATAGCCTTGGCCTCCTGCAGGAGAAGAAGCAGGAGCAGGGCTGCCGGCAGTCCTCAGTCGCTGAATTCTCCGACACGCGCAGTTGCTCCTGCAGCTCCCCGCCGCCCGGCACGCGCTGTGAATTTGACTCGCGAGGCGTCGGAGAAGAGCTCAGCAGGAAGCGCAGAGGGAGGGGGAACTAGTTTTGTATGCATCGCCATTCAGGTCGCCGCCACCCGCTCCAGCCACACAATGCGCCCCACGCAGGCGCTCTCACTCACTATTGTGGCAGGATCGTGAGGCGGCTGGCTGACAAGCCGAAAACAGGGAAACGCGTTTGGCGGCAAAATGCGGGGGAGTGCCGATGACAAGGGTTTCGCTGCAAAATAAGGTGGGGGGGCAGATGGAAGGCGCTGGAGTGGAAGCACGAGGCTGGAAAGGGGCTTGGCAGCTGGGGAGCAGGCTTGCATTGTTGGCAGTACTGCGCCAAGCGCGCCACTCAGCGCCACTCAGCAGCACAGGGGGACATTTGAAGAATTGACCAGCCTTTAGGCCACTACCAACGGCCTTTGAGTGCTTCTAACCACTTGGTGAGTCACAATTCACTGCCATGCAACCGTCATGCACCGCCCAGCTGCTGCCGCCGCTGCAGGCAGCTTCTCCGCCTCCTTCTCCGCAAGTGTGCGCTGCAGCTGAGACCGCGCCCGCTACCCCTGCCACCCTCTCCCAAAGCCGTACTATCCTTGAATCCTGCACGCTGCACATTATAAGTTACACCAACGTGCTGCCATATCTGGCAGCACAAGAAGCCACCTGCGACGGCCAGCTGGTTGCCGGGAGTGCAAGAAAATGTTTGCTGATGCAATGACAAAGGCCTCAACGCGACGAGATCCGTCATGAGATAGCAAACGCCCCATCGCAACTCAGGGATTCGGGTGCGATTGTAAAAGAGGGTTGGTCAGTCAGTGAGCCAGCCAGTGTCCGCTCAAAATACAAGTAGAGCGGCATGTGGGCCAAGAGGCATGCTTGGGCAAGAAGTAAGAGAGACGGGGAGGGAGGGTGACAAATTCATTCACATAGAAACTGATTCATGAAGAGGCGGGTCATATTGTGTCTTGACAGCATACGTAAGCGGAAGAGGTGGTTGCCAGGCGAAAAACAAAAATGTAACCCGTACCAAGCGCTGAGCCCATGCAGGAGGCAGACGAATGGGGAGAGCGAGCCACCTGTGGGGAAAAGAAATGGAAAAACAGTGCGCTGAAAAGGGTGGTGGGAGGCTTGGCATCATCCCTCCCGCAGCTTTGCCAGCACGGCCTTCATGGCGGCATCCCCCTTGATCTGGGTCTCATCCTTGGCGCCCATCCGCCGGAAGCCGATGAGCACCGCGCTTGCATCTGCCCCATCCTTTGCACCCGCCCGGCCCTCCGCATGCTGCACCTGCCCCTGCCGCTGCCCCGGCGCCTCCTGCTGCTGCTCCGTCTCCTCCTGCTGCTGCACGTCTTGCTGCTGCTGCTGCAGCGTGGCACCCGCCGCTCGCTGCTGTCCGCGGTCCCGGCGTGGCCTGCTGCACTTGCCGCCATCGCATGGCTCCTTGAGGCCCTTCAACTCTGGACGCTCCCAAGACGGCGGCTTGGGGAGATCTGAATCACTTGCGGACTGCGCTTGCTCCCAGTGGACACCTGGGTCGCCCTGCAGTGGCGACAACAGCAGTTGCGCCAGCCGCAAGTCGTTGCTCGCATGAGGCGGTGGCAGCAGGCCCCGCCTCCACTGCTGCCCCATTCGCAGGTCCCCCTCTCGCCTGGCTCACCTCTGCATAACTAGCTGTCTTGGTGCTGGAGGTCACACTACCCCGTCGCAGCTGGATGGTCAGGCCTGCAGCCAAGCGGGCCTAAGCAGCTTGGGCAGTGGATGTACAAGCACAAACGCGTCTTCATGTAGCTGCTGGGTAGGCAACAGCAAGACGCACCAGCGGTGCTCCACAGCAGAACCAGCGCCACTGCTGCTAGTTTGGCAGAGGTAGCAATGCTTGGGAAGGGGAAGCAACGTGGCGGTGGTGGCCTCGCCGGCCGCCCGCCCAGCGTGAGCGAGCGCCGGGATGGGTTCCTGGCGCCCAGCGCCATGCTCAGAGGGCGCAGCCCACACCAGATCAAGTCTCTGCAGCAGGTGTTGGGGCGGGTGAGTTTGAGGGGGTAGCCCGCCGCCTTGCGGGACAGTAGGTGAAGACTGCTACAGGCCAGAGGGCCCCCAGAATTCCTTGCCTCACTTGTTGCAGCTTGGGGAGGGCGTGCAGACCCAAACCGCTTGAACAAGGCTCCTCGAGACCGTTTTACCGCCCTGTGAGGTTAGGACCTCAAAGCCTCTGGTTTAGCTTGTGGGATGCCCCGCAAACCCAAGAAGCACTGGCGAGCGATCGAGTAGCCGCTGACAGAAGGGCGGTCACCATCTCTGTACGCTTGCTTGCCGGGCAATGCCTACCAATTACGGGTCCAAAACCACCCTGCGCTGATGCTAATACCACAGCAGACAAGATGCTATCAGCAAGCAGAGGCGCTGCCTTGAACCCGCATCACAGAGCAAACCCACTTTCCCGCCAGCGCAGGCCTTGCTGGCCCCGCACGCCGCCTCTTGCCCCCTTCCTCCCCACCAGGCCGCCAGAGTAGTCTGTAGCAGGGTTACAGGCCCGATGCCGCGCCACCCTGACCGGGCCAGGTTTCTGCAACGCTCGCCCCTGTGGCCACGCCACATGAGCGCTGCCGCAGCGGCGGGAGCGCCCAGAGCTACCAGGCTCCCGCAGCGTTTGCAGCCGGGTTCTCAAACAGCTTGTACTTCCAGTCGGTCTCCAGCGCAAACGGCTCTGCAGGGAAACGGACAGCCAGGGTGGCAGCACAGCAGTCAGTGTGGCTGTGGGCTCGTGCAAAGCCGCCGGTCACAACGACGCAGGCGCCAAGCCCCAACTGCTGCGCAGCAGCTCTCCTAGCAAACCGTGCACCCACCCACCCCCAGCCACCACCAAACATGGCATCGGCAGGCTCGCACGGCTAGCCAACCCCCGCGCGTCAGGTGCGTTTGGTCTGGGCTACCCAAGCCAGCCCCTTGCCCCTCACCGCTGATGGTCACCCCCTCTGCCGACACCTTGGCCATCTGGAACTTGTTGATGGAGTTCTTGTCGCGGTAGTAGCAGACCTGCACGTGCACAGAAAAAGACGCACGCACGCGCGCGCGAGGATGAGAAACAGCAGCGGCGGCGCAGTTTGGTGCCGGGCGAGCCCGAGGCGGCAGCGGGTTCAAGCCAGGAGCAGGCCACGCAGCAGGTGCAGGTGCAGGACCGTCGGGAGGCCCTGCGCCGGGGCAGCGGGCTGCGGCCCGCCTCGTGCAGCGCAGCCGTCGCCGCTGCAGCAGGTGCAGCAGCGGCTGCAGCGGCAGCAGCGACAGCGGCAGTGGCGCGGCAGCAGCCGCACCTTGAGGCACTCCCGCATCAGCTCCGTCGCCTCCTCCTCGCTCATGTCTGGCCGGTGCTTCTCCCGCATCAGCGGGCGCGCCAGGTGGTTGCCAAAGCCTGCCGCGGGCGGGGGGGCGGGCAGGGAGGAGGGATCAGGGGGCCGGCATGGCAGGATGGGAGCGGGAGGCGGCGCAGAGGAGCCAGGCAAGTGAGGCGCACTCGACACGTCCACCCGGCAGGGCCCGCCTGCGCCCCTGTGCCCCACCAGCCTCCGCCCCTGCCCTCTCCTCCAGGCAGGCAGGCAGGCGCCCGGCCCAGCTGACTGGCCCCACAGCCGGGCCCTTTGATCGCTAGTATTGCCATCGCCAGCCCCACCGACCGACGCCCCACGCCAGGCGGCCCCAGCCCACCTGTGGCCAGGTGGACGTCTGTATAGTTGGTGCCAATCATGCCCACGGTGCCCAGGAAGGGCTGGCCCGCGTAGAAGCCGCCCACCACCAGGCTGTTCCACAGCGGGTCAAACCTGCGGCACGGGGCCGCCGTGCACGCGCGGGCAGCGTGTGACAGGAGCAGCGTGTGGCTGGCAGCCCGCAGCACGACACGCAGGAGCTGCCACCACGCATGGGCTGCCCCCAGGCCCGGGCATCCGCTGGCAGCAGCGCCCCGCCGCAGCTCCAGCGAGGCAACCACCCCTCCCGCTGGAGACCCTCCCACCCTGCTTTGACTCCGCCAGCGCGCGGGCTCACTTGTTGCGGCGGTTGTACAGCACGCGGCAGAGGTACGAGTGTACCTCTGCGGGCTTCAGGTGGTGGCCATCGTCCATGCAGAAGTCGTCGTCAGACAGCTCCTCCAGCAGCCTGCGGTACGGTGCGGTACATGCGGCACAGCGGTACGGTCTGGGACCGGCGGCGGAGCACGCGGGGTGGCCGAACAGCAGTGGAGGACACGAGCTCGTCGCAGCCTCCAGCTAGCCCAGCCAGGGCAGAGCCGTGCCGAGAGTGCGCAGCAGTGGAGGGCCGCCGCGCGCCTTTTCCGTGCCCGCGTGCTGCGCCCATCACCGCAGTGCCCTGCAATGTACCGCTGCCCACCTCATGATGTACTGGAAGTCCGACAGCTCGCCGCTGGCGCCCAGCACGCACACGTCGTTGACCTTGCGGATGCGCTCAAACGACTTGTACCGCTTGGTGGAGCCGTAGGCACCTGCAGTACGGGTGGGACGGCGGCCAACGCGGGCTCTGGCGCGGGGGCGTGCGTGGCTGGGAAAGAGAGGAGGGCGCTGCACAGGCCACGGCAGGCAGGTGCGGCGTGGGCGTGGAGCGGGCCAGAGCATAGCGTGGAAGCAGCGGCGTGGCGAGCTGCCGCACCGAGCGTGTCGGATGCCAGCAACACGCCGTCCTTGTATGTGATGCCCAGCATGGAGGTGCCAGTGACGTAGGGGTACCTGCATGGCATGGCATGGACGCAGCATTGACCGGCCAGTCGTGGCGAGGCGAGAGTGATCGCCGCCGCCCCGCCTCCTGCCACTCACGTCGTGTGCTTGCGGGGCTGGCCGCTGGCCAGCGCCGCGGGATCCACGGCAAACGCCTCTGCGCCGCAGCTGGGCGCCTGGGCCGCGTGCCGGGTGTGCTGCTGCTCGAAGGCCAGGGGAGTGGGGTTGGCCAGGCTGGGCCCGGCGCAGCCCGGGCCCAGGGCTGACGAGTGTGATTGCGGTCTGGGCAACATCTAGCTAGCCCAGCCGTGTGGAGGGCGTTCTGCTCTGCAATCAGCTGGCAGCTCGATCAGCCCGCAATCAGCCCGTCCCTGTTGCGCACGGCGATGTGCAGCTATCGTCAAAGTGAACTGGATGCGTCTCAGCAGCAGGAGGGGGCCTTCGTGGCCTCCTGCGCAGCACGTAGCATGGCCAGACAGGTTTGGCGCCAAACCTAATCGACAACTAGGCAATTGACGCCGGGGCAAAGCAACACGCTCGCAGCCGACGGCCGAACAGGGCAGTGCCACTCTCAGTCCTCGAGGGCTTCTACCGAGCCGGGCAGGCGCCCCAGAGCAAGCAGAAAGCGTCGGATGGGCAGGAGCAACAGGGGAGGCGGGGGAGCGGGCAGGGGCGGGCGTGGCGGAGCACGACGAGGCGGCCCGGCCGGCGGCGGCGGCGGGCGGCACCAGGGCCGCCCTGGCCAGCCCGCACCGGCGGCCCCCATGGGAGAGGCGCTGCTGGTGGAGCTGAGGGCGACCCCGGGGTTTTATAAAGCGCTCAAGGGGCGAGGTGCGCTGCTGCTAGGGGATGCCACAACACAGCCGCACGCCTTGCGGGCAGCCCGTTTGCCACAGTGCTGACGCCATGCCGCTACACACTGGATGTGGGTGCTTCATGATGTGCAGAGTGCCCTGCACGGAGCCATGAGGGCGCCAGCGGCGCCACACCCCTGGGCACCAGCCAGCTAGAGATGGTGAGTCGCGATGGGTTCGGCGTGTGGCCTGCAGTTTGGGTGCATCATGCCTGCATCTTGGGGGCCCTCGCAGCCTGCGCGTGCAGCTTCATGCGCCTGCTCACCTCCTCCGTCGCCGCGCCTGCTGCGCTGCAGGGGGACTGGAAGGATCTGGGGGCGCTCCTCGGCTGGTTCAGGTATGGAGGCGGCTCTTGAGATCCTGCCCGAGGGTCCCCGTGGGCGTGCCGCGCTCTCCCTCTCTCCCTGCCTGCTGCTGCCGACAGCCGCTGTGCTCCTCTTCTCCTGCCACCTCCCAGGGACGGCGTGGCCGCCGACCCAGAGGCTGAGCTGGCCTTCTCCCCCAAGCTCACCAAGGCGCTCCGAGCCAGCGTGCACGGGTGAGTGTATGTGTGCAGGTGGCTCCGTGGCCTCTGCCTGCCCTGCAACATGCTGCATGTGTCCTTCGACTTGGCCAGGGATGCTAGCGTGGCGCCTGTGGCCGTGCGATCCCTGCTCCCTGGTTGGAGGGAGCTGGTGCTGTCGCCGGAGGCTCAGTCCGGGCCTGGCACCCTTGCGCCCTGCTGCCGCAGCACGGCCACAGCAGTGGGCCTTGGCGGGCTGGGCACCTCCAGCCGTGGGCTGGGCGAGGAGCGGCGGGTGGTGGTGATGGCCAAGACGCGGGCGGACCGCGCGCTGGTGAGCCCAGCTGGCGCCCAGCTGGCGCTGAGTTGGCGCCAAGTCGGCCGCATGCTAGCCGATGGGGCTGCTTTGGTGCACCGCGGGTGGAGCCGCAGCCTCAGCTGCCTCTGCCCTCCTGCGTTGGGTTCCAGCCTCGCTTGCTCCTGCCCCCCACCCTGCGCCCCCCGTCCGTGCCGCCCCCTGCAGCCCGTACTGGATGAGAAGCAGGACCACCAGGCCTTTTGGACCTACAGATGGGCGCAGCAGGCGGGCCTGCAGGCAAGCAGGGCGCGGCGGCGTGGCCGGGAAGCGGCCTGGGGCTTGCTGCCGGCCACCGGGGTGGTCCAGCTCTGGCCTGCCGCTACTGCTGCGCAGGGATAGCCTGCGTGTGCTGCCCGCGGTGTGCTCGCGTGCCCCCTGCCCTGCCACACCACACGGCCAGGCAGACGCACACGGACATGTTAACATATGTTCCACCGCCGTACCACTTTCTACCTCCCTCCTCTCCCTGTGCAGGTCAGCCGGGATGAGGTGACGGAGATGGTAGTGAAGGGAGCCCTCACCCCGCAGCTGCAGGCCATCTGGGACACGCAGGCGGCGCGGCAGAAGGCGGTGCAGCAGCTGTGCACGGCGGTGGCGGCGGGAGACCTCGCCGCGGCAGAGGTGCGCTGTGTGGAGCGGAGGTTGGTGGGCGGGTGGTGGGCGGTGGGGCCGCGACCTTGTTGTGTTTGCATCTGCCCAGCAGGCCGCTTTGTTGCCAATCGCACAGCCCTGGCAGCCGGGCGCAGCAGGCGGCCGTACCGTGAGCTGCCCCTCCCTTGAGCCCCGCCGCTGCCTTCCGCTGCGCTGCGTCCGGCGCAGGCGGCGCTGACGGCGCAGCCCGGCTTGCTAGCCGACAAGATGTTTGATGTGGAGTCAGGTGGGCTGGGCTGTGTGGGGGGTTGCTCTGCTGGGTGAACGCTGCAGGGCAGCACAGCTCTCCAGCACAGCAAGGCACACGGTCGCCCCACCACCACAACCACTTGCACCGCTCGCACACAGCTCCGCTGCCACCCACCACGCCCATCCCCTCTTGGCTGCGCCCCGCAGGCGTGGCGCCGCTGCACGTGGCTGCGCGGGAGGGGCAGGTGGCCGCCCTGGAGCTGCTGCTCAGCAGGGGAGCTGACATTGAGATGCTGGACGGGCACGGGTGGACAGCGCTGCAGGTGGCTGGCTGGCTGGCGGGCAGGCTGGCGGGCGGGTTTGATGGCGGGCCCTTGTTCAGTGCGCGGCTGGCGCGGCTGCTCAGGGGTTGACCCTCCAGTCATCGATCATCGCCCTTCTTCCTGGGATGCGCTTCTGCCTGCCCGCCTGAGTGCCTGCCTGGCCCCGCTGCCCCCGCAGGTGTCCCGCAAGTTTGAGCAGAGCGATGCCGAGGGCGCACTGCTGCGGGCGGGGGCCCACGACCCTGGTGCGCCGCCGCAGCCGCCGGCGCCGCTGCCACCGCCTGGCGCGCCGCCTGCTGGCCGCCTGCTGGCCTCTGCTTCTGCTGCCACTGGTTCCGCTGCCGGGCCGCTTGTTCCAGCCAGCCCCTAGCCAAGAGTTGCCCCACTCCTGACCTGCCACGGTGGCGGCGTGAACTGGTGTGCAGACAAGGGCAAGTCGATTCTGGACAGGCCAGCTGCGCAGAGGGCCACCAAGCCCACGGCGGCCCCTGCCCCGGCTCCCGCGGCGCAAAACGGCACCGCTCCGGTAGCCAAGCCCGCCTCCGCATCGCCCGCGGCGCCACCCAGCGAGGGAGCACTGGATGGGGACTCTAACGTTTCAGGCGTGTGCCTGCGCCGCTGCCCAGCGCCCGCCCAGCCGCCGTTCTCCTCATGCCTGCCGCCCAGCCGCGGGCCGAGTGCCACCCTGGCACGCCCTACTTCTGAGCCCCTGCATGTTCCGACTGCCGACTCGCCTTCCCCTCACCCATGCGGCTCCCTGCCCCTCCCCCATCCGCCCCTCTGCTGCAGTGTGCGGTACGGAGCGGGACAACGCCGCCGCCGACGTGAGCAGCAACGCAGACGACTATGTGGACCTGCAGTACCAAGCGGGCGGTACAGGTGCGGTCCCGCAGCGGCACCGCCACGCAGCCACCCCAGCAGGGGGCTGGCAAGCACAGGGCGCTGTGTGGGGAGAGCTGCCGGGCGCCACCTCTCCTCTACCCCACTCTCCTCACGTGCAGCCTCCTTCCTGCCCCAGCCGACTCTCTCTCTCTCTCTCTCTCTGCCACACACACATGCCCTGCGTCCCGGTTCCCGGTGCAGTGTTTGAGGCGGTGGCGGAGGAGGAGGCGGGCGACGGCGAGGGGGCCGCCGCTGCCAGCGACTCCGCCCGCGCCCAGGCCGAAGCCGTGGCGCTGGCCGCACAGGCGGCCGCCGAGGCCGAGGCGGCCGCGGCAGAGGCGGCGGAGGAGGAGGCGGCAGAGGCGGCTGCGGCCGAGGCGGCTGCCGAGGTGGCCGCTGAGGTGGCCATCAACGCCTTCAACGTCGCGCTTGCGGCGGCCGAGGCGGCCGAGGCGGCGGCCGAGGAGGCCGAGGGCCTGGGCGGCAGCGAGGCCGCCGAGCGCGCCGCCGCCTTCCGCCACGAGTGCGACGCGGCGGTGGCGGCGGTGGCGGCGGCCGCGGTGGCGGCGGGCGAGTCGCAGTACATTGACGATGTACTGACGCCCGCGGGCAGCCGCGGCGCCATCGAGCTGACCTCCTCCCCACCGGGTGAGATGGCAGGGCGCCCGCCGGTGGCGCCTGCTGCTTGTCGTTTTGGGCGGGCCCTTTGTGTATGTGTTGGTTGTCGGTTTGGTGGGTCATGTTCATCCTGTTCATGCCAACCCAGCATGGACGGGGTGGTTCCAGGCGCCCCGCGCCTGCTGCTGCCCCCACAAGCGCGGTGGTGTCCCGCGGTCGTGCCATTTTGTGGCCGCTCCCCGCCCTACCCGCTTCCTCGGCCCCGCCCATGCTGCCCAGCTTCCCGCACCCTCCCCAGCTTCCCTCACCCTCCCCTGCCCGCTACCCTCCCCGCCACCCCGCCGCCATGCACCTGCAGTGGAGCTGGCCTCTGTAGCCTCTGTGTGCGGCAGCGACCTGGCGCAGCGCCACTCCCTGGATTCATCCGACCTTGGGGCCGCCGCCACCAGCCCGCTGTCCACCGGCGGCTCCGTCCCCAGCTTTGTGGCCTCCCTTCCCAGCGGCAGCGCGGCAGCGGCGGCGGCCGAGCAGGAGGAGCAGGCGGAGAAAGAGCAGGAGGAGGAGCAAAAGGAGGAGGAGGAGGAGGAGGATAAGCTGGCTGCAGCGGGCGCCCAAGCGGTGGGCGCCGCCGGCGAGGCGGTGGCGGCTTCCGGCTCCGCGGCGACCGCCACGGGGCAGCTGGCCGGCGCCGGCGCCGCAGGGGCGACCCCGCCCGAGGGGCAGCCTGCCAGCGAGGCGGTGGCGGCAGCGGTGGCTGATCTGCAAGCCAAGGCGGCTGTGGCGGCGGAGCAGGCGGTCACGGCCGCCAAGGGTGCCGCGGCAGGTGAGCATGGCCGGCAGGCTGCTGGGCAGGGAGCAGGCGGGGGAGCGGGCATTGTGCGAGCGCTGGCAGGGAGGGCGGGCAGGCAGGGAGGAGTGTGTGCTGCTGGCAGGCGCTGCCAAGCTGCCGGCAGGCGCGCCCCGATCGGCTGGCTGCCCTGCCGACGCACACACACACGCCCGTTGCCTGCAGCTGCGGGCAAGGCGGCCAGCGCCGCGCGTGCCGAGCTGGAGGCAAAGCTTCCCGAGTGGAGTGTGTGGGTGCAGGAGCACCCGGGCAGGTGGGGCGGGGCCCGCGGCAGCAGACTTATGACGCAGTGTCTATGCGTGCTGGCTGTGCTTGCTGGGGGGCGCTGCAGGCACCCCGCGTCTTGCCTTGCTGCAACAGACCCACCAGGTTGCCACGCCTCGTCCGCGCCTTGCAGCGTGATGGCGGGCGCCGGCGTGACGGCGGCGGCCATCGCCGCGCTGCTGCTGATGGGCAGGCGGCGGTGAGGGGAGGGCCCGGCCTGGACGAGCCGCCTGCCCGCAGTTTTCAAAGACCGCGGGCTGGCCAGAGGCGGCATGCTGGCGAGCCGCCGCTGCCATCCCGCCTCGCCAAACGCATGAGCCCGCAGATTGCCGGCGGGAACAGGCAGGTACCTTTTCTTTTACGGCGCCCTGAGCTTACGTTCCTGCCTTGCTTGCCACCTGCCTTGCTTGCCACCGCTGGCAGCCAGCCAGCGCTGCTAGCAGCTGGGGGCAGCTGCTGCACTGCGGGGCCACGGCGCCTGCGGCAGTGGGCAGCTTGGATGTGATTTGAGCAGCCCATCAACTGGGTTGCCCCTTTTCATCTTGTAACGAGCCTTGCTGGCGCGCAGCACCTGCCACAGTTGGTACTGCCTGAAATCGCAGCTGGCAGGTGCAGGCGGCCGGCCGCCAGCAATGCGCCCAGGGGGTCACTCGCCCGGCGCCCCTGGCTGGCTGCCCTCCTTGATGACGAGTATGGGGCAGCGCAGGTGCTGCACGCAGTAGTCGGACACAGAGCCCATGCCCAGGCTGCCCATGATTGACCTGCGGGGGCAGAGGCAGGAGCGCAGAGGCGTGTGGGGGCGGGCAGCAGCACAGGTGTGTGGTGTGTGTGTGGGGGGGGTGCTGCGTGAGGGGGGAGGGCGCTGGTGCTGCGTGGGCCCACGGTGCGCCGGCGTCGCTCGCCCCGCCGTGCACGGCGCCGCCTCTGCATCATCTGCATTTTGGCACCAGGCCTGGGGGTGCAGTGACACCGGGCCCCTCACCGCTTGATGGAGCCCATGCCTCTGCTGCCCAGCACCACCACGTCCACCTGCTCCCCCTCCACAAACCCCGCCAAGCTCTCGCCCACGCCCCGCGTCGCGCTGCCACCCGACGCCGTCAGCGTGCGCGGGTGCAGGCGGGCGGGCGCGATCTGCGGGGCGGGAGGGGAAAGTTTCCTGTAATGAAAGGCACACAGCAGCTCCGTCGGCCATCCGTTGAGCGCTCCGGGCCAGGCAGGGCCCATGGCCTGGCCAGGACGCGCCTCCCATGCCTCACGTCGCCCGCGGCGCCCGCCCAACCATCCACCTCACCCCTGCGTTGTGCGCAAAGTCGTAGCCCTCCTGCAGGATTCGCTCCGCATCGCCCTGGTAGTCCTGGTATGGAATGGCCTGCGGGGCAGCAGGGACGCGCAGCGAGGCGGGGCAGGGACCGGGACAAACACATGGTCGACCATTTGGGGATAGGGGTGCAGCGGCGAATGGCAGAGGCTCCAGGGCACTGCATGGGCGCTGGCGCCAGGGCGTGCATGCCAGCTGGCTGAACACGCAGCGACTGCTCGTGTGTCTTCTGCACGCGTGGCCGCCAGGCGACAACACCCCTCCGGCCAGGTGGCGCACCGTCAGCAGGTAGACCTCATCCTCTGGGTCCACCAGGTTGTCCACGGCCCAGCTCAGCGATGTGAAGGAGTTGAGGGAGCCGTCCAGCATGCATAGCACGTGCTTGCCACTGCCAGCGCCTGCCTCGGCCTGCGGCTGCTCCACGGCAGCCAGCTGCTCGCCCGCAGCGACGGCCGCCTCCGTGGCAAAGGTGCGCTGCAGCTGCTTGAGCACCTGCAGTGGGGATTGGGGGGTTTCCAGCCAACAAGTCAGGCTGGAGGCGAGCAGACGACCCTGCCGCCACAGCCGAGCGCCGGCGCCCGCTGCCGCACTCCGCAAGCCTGCCCTCCCGACACAGGGCGTCCGCCTCCAAGACCAACCTCGAGGCTCTGTGGAAAGTCTCGGGCGTCCCCCACGCCGCCAGCAAAGCTCCTTTGGAGTACGTTGAGCGCCTCCCGCAGGCTCGCCGCTGCGTGGGCGTCTGCGGTGTGGGGAGGAAGCGACATGATAATAATGCGAAGGTCAGGGGACTCTGGGCTTCGGTTTGGAGAGTAGCACAGCTCATTGCTACACGTGGCAGGCAGCAGGCGGAGCACACCTTTGTCTGGTCGTCGTTTGGGCCACTGTAGTCGCCAGTGATATCCTCAGACTCAATTGCCGGCATCGCCAGGCGAGCGCACTGAATGGCTGGCTGCACGGCCACCCCCACCGCCCGGCCGGCCGCTGCAGTGCTGCACCGGCCCAGCACACGCAGCCCTGGAATCTATGACCCGCACAATGTGCATCAGGTGGCGTTTGCACCATGCCGCAGCAGCCCCGCAGCCGCCGCCGCGCGGCAGCGGCGTGGCAGCGGCCGCCGGCCGGGCCCGCCTCCATCCATGGCAGCCAAGGTGCAAGGGGCCCCAGAGGATGCGCTGGGGTGGAGCGAGGGGATCGAGGAGCAGCTGGGTCCTGCTGCCCAGGCCACGCTGAGGATGCTGGACTGGGGCCGGCTGTGTGGGCAGGTGGGGCGGGGCTGGCGCAGCATGCCGCTCAGACTCCTCCCACGAGGCCCGTGCTCTGCAATGCTGCGCCTGCTCGCCCCACCTGTGGCAGTCCTGCTGGGCCAGCGCTCAGCAACGCCTGCCGCCGCCCGAGGGGGCAGGCATCGCCGCCTCCCACCCCTCACCACCCTCCCGCACCTCAGCCCTCTCCACCCTGCATGCCCCCGCCGGTGGTGCAGGTGGCCACCTTTGCGCAGACCACGCTGGGCCAGCGCGCGTGCGCCTCGATGCTGCCGCCGCCCACCGCGGCGGCCAGCGAGCGGGCGGTGCAGGAGACGAGGGCTGTGGATGCTCTGGAGGCGGAGTTTGCTGCAGACCCGGACTTTGGGGGCATACAGACGGCGCAGGTCGGTCAGGCACACAGAGCAGGGAGGTGTTGGGGGTTTGTGGGGAGAGGCATGCAGGCGGCGGAGGTGGGCGCGCAGGCCTGGGGGCAGGCATGCAGAGCAGGGAGGTGCTGGGGATTTGTGGGGAGAGGCATGCAGGCGGCGGAGGTGGGGTTCAGGGGAGGCATGCAGCAGGCCGCACGCCGCGGCGCCGGCACCGGCCAGCAGAGTGCAGGCAGAGAGCTGCTGATGGTGTGTGCACTGGCGCCTGCCCCCCAACACCCCCGCCCTGCCTCCACGCCCCGCCCCGCAGTGCGGCCAGGCGCTGGCGCGGGCCTCCCGCGGCGGCCTGCTCACCGGCCCGGCCCTGCAGGCCGTTGCCTCGTTGCTGCTGGGCGCCGCCAAGCTGCAGCGCGCGGTGCGGGCGGCGGCGCGGGAGGCCGAGGCCACGGGCTACGAGGGGCTGCAGCCGGTCACAGAGGCGTTCAGGGTGCGCTGCACGGGCCAGGCCCTGTGCGCCTGGCCGCCCTCCGGCCTTACGCTCCCCAATCCCAAACCCACACACCCTACCAGTCCCAATCTCAACCCGCACGCCCAACCCTCAGACCCACCACGCCCAACCTCAAACCCACACATCCCACCCACCCACACCACACCCCCACCCGGCCACCGCCTCCCCGCCGTCCCCACAGGACGTCGCCACCCTCCCCGAGCTGGCCGCCGCGGTCGGTTCGGCCATCGAGGAGAGCGGCGCGGTGCGGGAGTCGGCGAGCGAGGAGGTGCGGCGCGCGCGGGCGCGGGTGCGCACGATCGAGGGCCGCATCCGAGGAATCCTCAAGGTGCGCCGCGTGCAGCCGGGCCGCGGCCGCCATTCCTGTAGCGAATGCCCTCTCTTCTCTGGTTTATGTTTGGCCCCCCCCTTCTGCTCTCCCAGCGCCAGCCTCAGCGCCAGACTTCAGCCCCAGCCCACACTTGACAAGGAGCCTGCATCCCCAGTCTCAGTCGGCCTCACATGCTTGCCCTCCACACACCACACACACGCACCCACCCACTGCAGGGCTACCAAGGCGAGGTGACGGAGCAGGGGGCACGCATGTGTGTGGCGGTGCCCGCCTCCCCAGACGGCCCCCCCAAGGGCATCCTGCTGGGCAGCGGCCCTGGCGGCAGCACCTGGTGAGCAGCAGCCGGGTGGGGCTGCTGATGACGGTGCCCCTGCTGGCAGGCCCGGCTGGCGGGGCGGCTCCCGGCCGGGCGTGCCGGCAGCCCGGTGCAGCCGCCGCCAGCTGTAGCTCTGGCCGCACGCTTCGCCTGCAGTCCTGCCTTTCGTACCTTGTGCCAGGCCCTTTCAAAGCCAGCGGCATGGATGCTCACGGCGATGCTCCAGCTGCTGCCTGTACCTACGGTCACCTGTACTGTCACCTGTACTGCAGGTACATCGAGCCCCCGGCGGCGGTACCGCTGAACAACGACCTGGCGGCGGCGCGGGGGGAGCTGTATGGGGCCGAGGAGGCGATACTGTGGTCCCTGACGGGACGGGTGGGGGATGAGCGGTACGCGCTGCGGGACAGCTTGGATAAGGTAGGGCCCCAAGGGGGTGGCACTGCGGGGCTGTGGTCCTGCAGGGGCTGCTGCGGTGGCGGTGCCTGGCGTGGGTGGGGCGGGGTGGGCCGTGTGTGTGAAGAGGGATGCTGCATGGGGTCTACTAGTAGTTCAGTGGCTTTCCTAGCCTTGGCTTGCTGCCACGACCGCTGCTGGAAGCACCGCGGGCATTGCCGCCACTGCTGAGCTTGCTGCCACGACTGCTGCGGGCACCACCGGCAGTCCTTCTGAGAGACACAATGCATGCTGGCGACCGCCTGCCTGGGCCCGCATGCATGCAGGTGGTGTGGCTGGACGGCGTGGCGGCGCGGGCGCGGTACGGCCGCTGGATCGGCGGCGTACTGCCTGAGCTGGCGCCCTTCCCCAAGACCGGCAAGGCCCGCGGCGGCGGCGGCAGGGCCAGGCAGCAGGCTGCAGAGGAGGCTGTTGGGGATGGGCAGGGGGATGAGGGAGAAGGAGGGGAGCAGGAGGAGGCGGAGAGGCATTGGGTGTACCTGCGGCGCCTCAGGTGGGGGCAGCTGCAGGGCAGGCGCCACGCCGCGGGCAGCTGCGGCTGCGCGCCCCGCCCTGCCGCCCGCCTGCGCCGCCACTCGCGCCGCCACCCGCCTGCCCACCCGCCGCCCAGGCGCCTTCCAAGCAGCGCCGGCTGAGGCCGCCCGCAGCAGGCAGCACCTGGCTGCCGCTGGCCGCACCCTGAGTCCCCTGTCTGCCGCTGCTGCCGGGCCCCGGCCCTCCCGCTTGCGGCAGAGTGCTCACACTCGCCCCAGTCAAGTCAGACCTTTCCT